GAATAGATCTTTCAATCACTATGAATGAGCTGGTTGTATGAGTAGGATGTGTGTATAAAGGTGTTCTTGGGGGAAAAGTGTAGCTGGGAGGTGGGCACCTTTGAAGGGTGAGGGTGGGTACGGCTAAGCTTAATATATTTTTAAGGGGGGTTATTTGTTGTTGACTGTACGGGTGTATTCTTTTTAACTTGTAAGCCACCTTGACAGCATCGGCTAAAGGCAGGGTATAAATAAAGTTTTTATTATTATTATTATTATTATTATTATTATTATTATTATTTGCTGTTTTGCATGTCAGAAGCACACAAGACCTTGTCACAATGCAGGAAACCTTCTCTGTTGTTTAGAAAGTAGTCCCTTCCCAGTGCTGTTCCCTTGACCAGGATGCCTGTTCCTGGGGGTCATCTATTTGGATCATGGTCAGCCTGCAAGGTAGGTCTTGCTGCCTTTGCTGTGCCAGGGAGACCTGGGTCCTTTCGCTAACTGACCTTTTCCCACAGTCTTGCCTTGCTTTGGTGCTGAGCCAGCTCCTGGATAGGCAAACTGCCTTCCTTGATAATACTACTGTAGTTCTCTCCCGCAACAGGTTTTTGGCAGGCTGAGCCTTGCCCGCTCTGCAAACAGAAGGCGGTGGGCCCTTGCCTTTGTGTTAGCAGTCCTGTTTGCTTGAAAGTGGTGTGTGTATGTATGGGTTCCCTTTGTTTTCCTTGGGGTGGAACAGGGGCCCAGTGCTGGGGCAGAGCAGGATGGAGGAGCCCTGCATCCCTGTGACTGAGGGAGAAATGGCAAAAGTGCCTTGCCCACTTTTTTGGCAAATGCGGCCTGAGAAGGGGGCCTGGTAGGTCTGACCTGTAACAGGCAGTGGTCACTGGTGAGGGTGTCTTTGTGCCCAGTAGGTGAGCCAGGAATCGTGGTGCCAGACACTGTTCATGCAAGCAAACTGCAAATTCTTGTGGTTTTGTGCCTTCAAGTCAACTTATGGTGACTGTCTCCTGGGTTTTTATTAACAGGGGGTTTGTCATTGCCTTCCTTATGCCTCTGTGCATGCTTTTCTCTGTATTTGCTTTAAATTATTGTAAGGCCTCCTGGATCCCAGGAGTGTGTGAGAGTATGACTTGCCCAAGGTTACCCAGTGGGTCTCCATAGGTAAGCAAGGATTCAGACCCTGGTCTCCCAGAAGTCTAGTCCCACACTCAAACCGTTATGCCACACTGGTTCTAAAAAATACCCATTTTATTGGCAAGATTTATTTTGAGGTGATTGGCCATTGCCTTCCTCTTAGAGTGGGACTTGCCCAAGGCTACCCATGCTGAGAGGGGATTCAGTCCCTGGTCCCTTGGACTCCTGATCCAACACTCAAGACTCCTGTACCAGGCTGGCTGTAAACAAGAAGTTTTTCCTGGCAATATTTATTCAAAGACAGTTTTCTTTTGCCTTCTTCTGAGACAGAAAGAAGAGTGTGACCTGCCTGAGGTGACCCAATGGGGTTTCCATGGCTAAGTGAGGGTTCGAATTCAACACTTACCAACAGTAGAGTATAGGTTTATACAAAATAAAGAAGGAAAATGGTGTTTTTATTTTGTATAAATCTATACTCTAGTGGTGGTAAGTACAGGATTGAGGGTGTTCATTTATAAATACGTGTATTTTTAATATCAATATGATTATGTAGTGGTTTTTATTTAAACCAGCACTTCAGCCTTTTGTCTGGAGGAGCTATTGGGCAGCATAAGATTTTCATTGGCCAGTGATGAAGTCTGATAGCCGAAACGCCTCTGGCTTCTGTTTTAATGAAGAATTGGATGAGAGTTGGATAAGGCCTTGGGTCATATTTTTTCCTTCAACAAATGATTTATATCTTATGGACTTTCTCCCATACTGCATGTGTTAACTTGTAGACTGTGTAATTTTAATTTGAATAATTTATTATTTTAGTGATTCATTATGTTTGTCATATACCTTTATATGCACACACACTTTATATTCATTTCCTAACTCTGTTTACTTTTCGTTATTTCTGTGACTTAGGTCATATCCTTTCCCTTTGTCCTGTTTGCCCAAAGATCACCAAGTGGATTTCCATGGCTGAGTGGGGATTTGAACCCTGGCCTTCTGGAGTGAGTGTGGTGTAGTGGTTTGAGTGTTGGACTTCAACTCTGGAAACCAGGGTTCAAATCCCCACTCAGCCATGGAAACCCATTCTGTGGCCTTGGGCAAGCCACATTCTCTGAGTCTTGAAGGAAGACAAAGGCAAACCTCCTCTGAACAAATCTTGCCAAGAAATTCCCTTAGGGTTGCCATAAATTGGGAATGACTTGAAGGCACACAACAATGGCAACAAACTCTTGGAGTCCAAGGTTAAGACTGAAACCACTACACATGCTGGTCCCTAATCTGCAAATTAGATGCTGCATTAAGTGTTTACTTTTGGACATGGGTGACGATTGTGCGGTCTTCCAGATGTTGTTGAACTGCAGTTCCCATCAGCCCTAACCACCATTATCTGCTGGATGAGGAAACCTGGGAGTTGCAGTCCAATATCTGAGGGGTTGCATGATTCCCATCCTTGCCCACTCATGCAAATTTTCCCTTGCAGGGAGAAGCCTGGTTGGGAGTTCCCAGACCTTGTCTTTTTGGCTCTCACTAGCAAGGACATTCTGGTAAATTGGACCAAGAGGGCTTTGACATTTGGTCATCCATCTCTTCCCCCTAAATGTTGACAAGTTGGTGCCTTGGGCCGGTGGAGGAGCATCTGCCTCTTTTGTCCCTTGGCCAGATGGTTGCAGTGTGTCTGTGTGATGCTTTTGGTTCCCCCGTTGCTCAGGTGGTTGCATGGCTGGGAGTCGCTTGCTGTTGCATCCTGATCAAACAAGTCTCACGTGGGTCTGATCAAGCAGAGTCTGCATGAGAATCAGAGATAAGTGTGCTGACTTCAGAAAGGGAGCCTCTTCTTCTGTTCCGGGAGACGCAGGGACCAGATCTCTATGTTCAAAGGCCTTTGAGATGAGCTGTGTCAAAGCTTGGAGAATTTCCAGTGCGGACCCAGAAGCGTGCCTCAGTTTCCTCAGGGAACTCATCCTGCTGTGTTCCTGGAGTCGGGTGTTTTGGAGTGCATTAGTGTGACACTCGATTGTGAATTACGTAGTGTTGTTTGGAGACGTTCAATGGAGTTTGAGGTTGACTCCATTATTGTGTTTGGGATAGCAGCACAAGTTGAGTAAACCTGAAAAGAAAAAGAAGGGGAGAGTATGAAAATGCCAAAATGACTTCTCCTGCACTTGCAAAAGGGTATCTTTTTTGTGGGGTACTGGTAAGGTAGACTCGAAAATTATTATTAACTTTATATCCTGCCTTTTCTCCGAGAATGGGACTCAAAGCATCTTACTCCTCAAAAGATTAGCATTAAAAAGTCTCCTTCCTTGGAGGTCTTTAAGCAGAGGCTGGATGGCCATCTGTCAGGGATGCTTTGATTGGGAGTTCCTGCATGGCAGGGGGTTGGACTGGATGGCCCTTGTGGTCTCTTTCAACTCTATGATTCTATGCTTCTATGATTCTATGAAAAGCATAGAAAAATCAAGATTAAACCAAATTAAACTGTTCACTTGATTAAAAACATAACACTCTAAAAAGGGTTTAAAAGTTACATAACACAATGCAAGGGAGCCAGTGTGGTGCAGTGGTTTAAATGTTGGACTATGACTGGTGACCAGGGTTCGAATCCCTGCTCAGCCATGGAAACTCACTGGGTGACCTTGAGGTAGCCCTTTCCCAATGGCTTAGTTGAAGGTTTATATAATGATGTTTAAATTGGGACAGTGATAATACCAATAAGACAGCAATAACCATCCACCAATCAATTAAAACTGACTCAACATATCACTGGAACCATCCCAACAAATAAAAATCCAACCTCATATTTAAAGTTTGGTGCCTATTAAAAAGACATTGGCGTACCTTCTGGGTGAGTGTTCCTGGGGGAAGGATTGTGTAATTGGGACACTAGAGACAGCCTTCAAGAAAGTTTGGGGTAGAGAGGAGAAGTACTCAACGAAGAAGTACTTTGGGCACTAGCCAGCCAGGAGAATGGAGATAAATTGTACCACTTGGTTCAGCTTCAGTTGGACCTCACCTGGAATATTATGTCCAATTCTGGGTGCCACAATTCAAGAAGGATATGAACAGAATGGAACATGTGTGGCCAAGATGATGACAAAGTTCTGGAAACTAAGCTTTATGAAGGATGACTCATAATTGGGATATCAGCAAAGTAAAAACGTGTCCAGAGGAAGCTGACCAAGATTACGGTATATGAGATCTGGAAATTCAAAACTCTGTGAGGAATGGCTTAGGGAAATGGGTAGATTTAGCTTGGAGAAGAAGGTTGAGAGTGATAGAATGGAGCCATATTTAAATATCTGAAGGGATGCCATGTAGAAGTTGGAGCCACCTTGTTTTCTCTTTCTCTGGAAGCTACCATAAATAACAAGAAGCAGTGGATTGAAATGAGAATCATAGAGTTGGAAGAAAAGGGATTCCACCTAAACATTAGGAATAATTTCTTCCCCATAAAAACATTTTGAGAGTGGGGTATACTGCCTCAGAAGGTGGTGGACTCTCCATCTTCAGAGGTCTTTAAACAAAGGTTGGATGGCCACCTCTGGACTTGATGGTCCTTGAAATTTCTCCCAACTCTCTGGCTGAGCTCCCTCTTTTAGATTATGCACCTATTGCGTATGTGACTGCCTAGCTCAGCCTTTGCCATCCTGGGGCCCTCCAGCTGGGGGATGATGGCAGTTACAGTCTGATGCATTTGGAGAGCACCAGGTTGAGGAACGATGATATACTGTATATACTCATGTATAAGCCTAGAAATTTAGGTTAAAAAATTGACCCCAAAAACCTGAGTCAGCTTATCTATGGGTCAATATAATTACTGTATCTTAACTCTTATTTAAAAGAAGGAACCAGCCCTAGTGAAAGGCAAGAGCATAATCTGTCCTAGAAGCATTGACCCCTTCTACTCTCTCATCCATCCAGCCTTCTGCAAGAGTTAGCACAAAGAGTTATGTCTGCTGGAATTTGGTAAGTTATTTGACATTGTTTTGCTTTGCTTCATCCTTTAGATCAGGGGAAGGCAACCTTTCCTCTTTAAGGGCCGAGAGGCTTCCGCTCCCAGAAGCCTCAGCCATGTTGGCCAATAGTCCCATGTTGGCCAATAGCTCCTGGGATTCTGGGAGCTGAAGTCCCTCGGCCCTTAAAGGGGAAAGGTTGCCTACCCCTGCTTTAGATCCTTTGTTATATGCTCCTAAGTTTTAGCCTTGACTTATCCATGGGTCGTATCAAAATCCATAATTTTGGCCCCAAAACCTGCTCTCGGCTTATACATGAGGTCGACTTACAGTCGGGTATATGCGGTAGGTCAAGAAGGTTGCTGGCTATGGAGCAAGGGGGTTGCACAAAGAGCCTCGTGTTTTGTGCAGGCACACCCAGGCACTGCCCGTCTTATACCTCTGGCTTTACACACGCATCCGATCCGCTGTGATTATCCTGTGGAAGGTGTCTCAATGAGGAAGCGTCTAGTTTTCCGTGTGAGCTTTGCCCTTTTGCATTAATAGCCGTGACTGCTTATCTCAGTATCGCTTATTTGTTGGTCTGTTGTTGTTCCCCGCCTTGATCCATTGGGAGAGGCTAGTAATTAATAACAATGAATGGATGCCCCGCAAATCAGAAGGGATGACTATATATATTTTTTCCTAAAAATGAGAACATGGGATGTACTGTTGTTACAGTTTTTGGGTTTAGCTTCATCTGGTACAAGGTTATAAAGCTCAGAGTTGGAGAGTTTGGTTTGTGTACAGTTGCATGTGCTGCCTTTGCTGTTCTTTCTAAAAAGTGCTCCTGGGGTTTGAAATTGGTTCTACCGGACTGACCAGAAACCGCATATGCCTTCTGTTGTTGCTTCCTTTTCTTGCCATCCACCCATCCAGAGCTGGACAATCCTTGGGCAGAAGGACTCAGTTTCAGGAATCAGCATTAGGCATTGTGAAATCCAGCCCTCTGCAGACGTGGGTTTGTTGTTGTTGTTGTTGTTGTTGTTTGGTGCAGGGGGACGGGACACTACAATTGTTGGAAGTTGAATGGTGTAGGAACAGCAAAGCACCCTAAAAGTGGGGGAAGTTGCCCTTGCCCCCAACAGTTACAGGAATGGGTTGGCTCTGTGAATGACTGTTCCATGCTTGGGAACACTGTACCACCGTGAATTGAGTTGCTGGCAAAAACAAACAGGAGAAACTTACCAACATTAGTAAAAGAAAATTATTGTGCCTCCTGTAGTCCTCCATCGTGCCCAACAGACATGCAACACTTTCTCTCATAAAAAGGACTGAAGACCAGAAATTGCAATGATGTGAGAGATAGTCAGCCCTCTGTATCCACAGATTCTGCACCCACAGATTCAACCATCCACAGCCTGAATATAGGTTTACTTTTGGGATTTTATATATATATATATATATATATATATATACCGTATATCCCAAAAGCAAATCTTGATTTTGCCATTTCATATAAGGGACACCATTTTACTATGCCACTGTATATAACGGGACTAGCACATCTACGGATTTTGGTACCTGAGAAGGTTCCTGGAACCAAACCCCAGCAGATAT